TTTCAACATAGATTTCTTTAATTTTGACTTAAGCAGAGTATGTCATCAGCATCACCAGTTTTAGTTATCTCCTGTAATTTATTTACAAATGTTGCCCATGTATTACCTTTGATTTTGGTTTCTGAGATGTAAGCACAATGTACTAAGTGACTGCAATTGCTGGTGTTGTTTTCAATTCTTTTCTTGTATTTAAATAATTGTGCACATATTTCAGTAATAACAGGATAACTTCCAAGTTCAGCTCTAGAAGCAATAATACTTGAACGCCTGTGCACTCCTAATACACTCTTACTGAACTTAATGTGAAGTTGCTCATATTGTGATCTGTCATTAAAGAGATTATTAACAAATCTTTTTGTATCAATTTGATCATCCTGTTTAGATTTGTAAATCTTGAAGGTAAAAGCCCCCCAACTGTCTGAGCCATACATTAAGATCGGTAAGACTGTACTTTTAAAAAGCTGTAAAGCATTACTAATAGAAAGAGTTTGGTTATGTAAAGTGATAGTTTGCCTAAGAATACCTAATGCACGTTGTGGTTTCATCACCAGATTTTCAATGGCAAGTTTAAAATTACCATTACTTTGAAAAATATATTACTGGTACTTTTGATCACATTCTGAGAAACACCCCTGCAATTTACGTCAGCGCATGCGCTGCTCACAAATGTAGCAGTTTCTTTTGTACTAGGGAATCACGACAGCCTCGATGTCATATCACAGTACCGATCAAAATGGCTGCTGACAACACCTTCTGTCTAAACGACTTCGATGCAATCGGATTCGATTTAGATCATACTATAGCAAAATATAAACTTAATGAGGTTATGTCTGTAAGTAAATACCCGTGTTTTGTAATCAATAATTTGACTTAAGTATTAACAACAATTTATTGACATGATCATGATCGTGATAATGTCTGCGATGTTTACGGCGACGATGCACACGTGTCGTTACTGTTGCTGCAGTTTGGCAGCTTTTATTGGGCGCTTAAGCTATTTTGATATTACGTTGCGCCCCGAACGTATACCACGACCAAGAGAGCTGCATAAACTGCAGCAAGTTTTTACCGGGGTGTTTTATTAGCCTTAAACTTAGACTTCCGTAAATGTTTCGTTCACCAAAATTTGAAAATGAATAAAAAATATTTATATTCGACTTTCAATTGCATGATTCGTACGTATAATTTGCTACACTGTCAATTATTACAAAAATAAAATTATAAGACGAAAAAAAAAAAAAAAAATTATATATACTCGTATCACATATGTCAGTCATAGTTCTGCATGTTAATTTATTCTCGGGGTGGTAGTGAGAGCTGTATAATTGCCCAAGTTTTCTATTGCAATTTTTGTCTGGATTACATCAGTGAATTTAAAGGGCGGTAGTCATTGCGCTGCGCATGTGCGACATTTCTGTTGATAAACATTGATTCTCCCACAATCCTATGCGCTCTTCTAATTGAAATCACAAGTATGAGGTTTGACCTGGGCACGACTTGCACTAATTACCGCTGGTGTCTCCTTTGATATCTTCCAATCACCTGAAAATTTTTAATCAAAGTTTGGTATGTCTCAGTTTGTACTCATTGATCTGCGCAACAGTCAAAGTCGCCATCTTTATTTATATTAGACCCATGTATCTTGCGCATGCGTGGCGCGACGACTACCACCCTTTAATGTTATGCAATAGTCTCCTTCATTCAGGGTAACGATCAATTCACACATTCCAAGAGAAACAATGAATTTCACCAAAAATACACGTAGGACCAAAATACATTTTTCTCATTTACCAAGTAAAGAAAACTAACGCAGAGACAACTGGTTGTTTGTAATTCAATAGATATATAGCCTGGATAGCACATTCTTGTCAAAATATCCATTCTATTCCAATCAGATAATACCAATAATATATTTAATTCAAACATTTGTAATGATTTCATTTGTAGCTCACCTATGATAGTTTGGCTAAATATTTAATCGAGAAGAAGGGATATGATAAAGTATTGCTAGAACCAATGGAAACTGATAAAGATTTTCTGTGAGTACACTCTAAATTGTCTTCAAATATAACTTGCCAGCTGATGCTTCACAATTCATTATAATAAATTCTTTCCTTTAGCAGTTGACCATTAGAAATTCAAGGGGGCAGTGTACACAATGTTTAGCTTACTGTAGAATACTTTATTTTCGCTTGGAATTTATTTTCGCTGAAGGGATGACTCAGTGAAAATAAATTCCAGTGAATATACTTTTTTTTCTATATTTCACATTAAATTCATCAAAAATCAGTGAAAATAAATTCCAAGCAAAACGCCCAAAAAGCCTTTTCAGCGAAAATTAATTCCAGCGAAAATAAAGTATTCCACAGTATTAGCCAATTAATAATATTACTGGTAATATTTTAATTTGAATGAAAGCTGTTGATATGTATTATCATAACTATTTTTTATAAGCAAATCTCTAGCTTTGTGCTCCTTGCTGAAAAAACTGTGGATGTTATACAAATGTTATACCGGTATAAACGTTTTATAATTCAATATTGCTGTCAATACTCATTGACTAATCCATCAATGAGTGCCAGGTGTATGCAAATTACCAGTGATCTATGACTCAAAGGAGACCAGTTGAATACAATAAAAATCAGACCTTCATCGTCCCTTTTCAAAAACAGTTATTCATGTGAGCATTTTTGTTGAAACAGTATATATTCACAAGACCTCATGCATTTATGTTACCTTTGATCTATGAATGAATGAAGGCAATTTTTCTTGTCCCTTCCTATACTATACAATTTTATGTAGAGTGGTCTCATACTCACAAACTTTAGAAAAATAAATAAAAAAACAATATTGTATTTGATTTATTAGAAGCCCATTTCCAATACAACTGCTTGTTTACAACAAATTGCATTGTTGTATACTAAAATCTTTAAAATATAAGTGCATGCACTACTGTAAAATGTGTATTAAAAGCTGCGGCTTCTATTAAAATGGTACAATGCAACAGAGAAGATGCGGCTTCTATTAGAGCATCTACACATATGCGACCTGGTGAATTTTTGGGTCTCGATAGTTCAAAAAGAATGGGTGCGGCTTCTATTACAGATTTTACGGTACTAACAGAGCAAATATGATATATATATGGTCTTATGGTTTTGTCTTGTTCTTGATGAAGGCATGCAATTGTATTTTAGGTTTATTACCAGGCATGATACATTGAGTTCTTTAAGCCAATCACAATTACCGGTACATTATTTGAATTTTACTGAAAGTTGTGGATTAGTGTTTACAAATAATTATTAATGTGTATATTAGGTACAAAATGTACAGTTTTCTGACACACACTGTATCATGCATGGAATGGTAATATTCATATTTATTTTTTTGTGAGAACACAACACAGTCTTTTGTGACTGTTCATGTAGCTTGAGTACAATGACAAACCAGCATGTTTTTAGCTCTGCTGTCGACTTTGTCGAGCGGAGCTTATCATATGAGTGATTGTCCGTCGTCGTCCGTGTCAATGTTTTACTTTTTCGACTTCTTCCTGAAAACTACAAGCCTGAATGCTTTGATACTTGGTGTATATGTACCTTGGGTAGACCTCTCTCAGATTTGTTCATTTCATGATCATATCTTCAATTCTCTAATTTTGGTGAATATTTTTGTAATTTTTGGTAAAAAGTGATATTTTCGACTTCTTGTTAAAAACCGCAAGTCCATTTGCTTTGATATTACATATATAGGTACTACATGTGGATCTCTCTCAGATTTGTTCATTTTGTAATGATATCGTCAATTCTCTAATTTTGGTGAATATTTTTGTCATTTTTGGTAAAAAGTGATATTTTCGACTTCTTGTTAAAAACCGCAAGTCCAATTGCTTTGATATTACATATATAGGTACTACATGTGGATCTCTCTCAGATTTATTCATTTTGTAATGATATCTTTAATTCTCTAATTTTGGTGAATATATTTGTCATTTTTGGTAAAAAGTGATATTTTCTTCTTGTTAAAAACCACAATCATTTATGGTGAAAAATGATATTTTTGAATTCTTGTTGAAAACAGCAAGTCCCATTGCATTGATACTATGCATATTGTTCATTTTCTAATGATATCTTCTGTTCTTTAATTGAAATGTGCATTACTAACAGCGGAGCTATCTCAGCCGAGAGAGGCTGCTTGTTAATATTTAGCATGCAGTGTACCAAAATAGAAATAAGCACATTGTAAATATAACTGTAATAGCTTTAGTTTTGTTTGGTGTTTAATTTCATTTTGAGCCTATTCACAAGTGACGTGTGAAATTTACCTAAATAAGCTAAAAGTAGAGAAGTGGACCAATGAAACTACTTCAGTGATGCAGTATGTTCTGCGGCCTGATGCTGTCTTAACTACATATTATTACACACAAGCATTCTTTCCAAAAATTGGTCAATCATATGCAAATGCCACTGAGTTAGCTACAAAAATAATGACTGACAAAAAGAGCAAAATTCAGGAATCTTTCAAAATAGAAACAATAAAATATACTGCTTAGACATTCATATGTTTTTTATTGACATCAGCACATAAATGTGACATCAATATCCTGACCCAGACTTGGCATCCAAAAAATGTCATTGTCATGGTGATTTTTAAACATTTCGATTTGTCTTCATTACCAGGGATTTTTTAAACGAGGGAACAGAGGCACAGCGCCCTCATGCCATGGCCATGCACCCCCTTATCATGGGGAGCAGATCCTCTGCCAACCATAAAATTCTGATTGACAAGGGATCACATGTGGCCACAGTCTTCATTTTTGCCCCAAGGAAGCCATAGAATGCTCCATTTTAACTTAGAATTATCAAAAACTTCACACCCTAGTAGGGAGAACCCTATCTCCCCCACTTGGTGGCGCCGCTAAATTGCAGTGCTCCCTCTTGCAGTTTTTTTTCTAGAAAAAACCCTGAATACTAAAATGTTTTTGATGCTTTTAAACAATAATTATTGGGGTGGTGAAATTCACCTTAGCAGTTCAATTGCCAAGAAAACTCAACTTTAAAAGGACTTTTTATCTCATTTGCTTATCAGTTGTATATCTTATGATGTTGTGTTCATCTTGCGTTTCACTCGACTGCAAGATCCATACCATCATCATCTTTCAATTGTTTGGTAGAATATAATATCTAAATTTCAGAATAAGAGGACTGGTATTTGATATTAAACTTGGGAATTTTCTGAAGCTATCTGAAGATGGTAAAATTTTAAGAGCTTCCCATGGGAGAAAAAAAATGACAGACGAGGAAATTGAACAAGATTATGGTAAGGACAAAAAATGGCATGAATTTGAAGAATTAAAAGAAACATTAAAACAAACAGGTTAGTAAAAATAATAACTTTATTATTCTACAAGACAAGAACAAATGAAAACATGTGGAACTATAAAAAAAAACTATTACAGGAATAAATCCTCTTTGTTTTTCATTTATTTAATTTTTAATTTATATTTTGTTCATATATTTGGTGAATGCAATAATATAATTTGAAAAGATTTGTAAATTTAAATTATTAACTTTTCCTATTGAAAATACTACTGTTACAGTAATTATTATTAAGCCTCTCTTCATATTTAGGTTTTTGTAGCAAGGAAAATATTCACATAGTTCAATTTTAGCAGATTTCATGTTGCAGGGATATTCACAAGTTTTAATTCACTAATTTGTGAAGAAAAATAATAAATTCCATTGTAAACTTTGCTTATTTGCTGGTTTTGAACCTGTTGCCATTGGGAAATTATAAAAAAAATAACATTATTGATAATACAATAATAAAAATTGTTTTCAGACTGATTTATAAGGTAAAGAAGGTGGCCAAACAATATTTCCACTGGCTCCATTTCAGGAACTGAGGCCCTCTATAGTTGTGTTTGGTTCTTTCACAGAATGTTATGCAGAGGTGAAAGTTGAATTGTCAGAATATTTTTATTTTTGACTAAATACTATAAATGATGAATAAATAAATGGGTGATTTCAAAAAATGTTTTTATTTTTATTACAAAATAAATACCTCATTTGCTGTATTAGTGTATCTTCAATAGAACCAACTGTTTATTTATTTCAACAGTCCAAATTGCGTTGACCTTAGAAGAAGCGACAAAAATGCATGCAGTAAAACATAAATAGCAGGTTTTTTTTTTGCAAACAACTTCTAAGAAGAATGTTTCCCATCAAGTTTTGATTAATTAAGATGGCTTTATATAGAAGGGCCTGTCAGCAAATGTTTCATGAATCATGGCAGAGTCTACATAAATGCTCAGTTATATTTTGTCGTTTGCAAACAAATTCTGATCTGAATAACGAATCTTGTGAATAATGTAATGTAATGCACTTGGAAAAATATATATGATAATAAAACTGTAAGTATAACGTGTATATTTATGAGAAATCAAACAAAATGTCACTTGATGATGATTCAATGAGTTGTAAAATAATATTTAATTTTCTTTCAGATAATTTTCGATATTTTGAAAATTCTTTTGACCTACCAGGTTCTATTTTATGTGCTCGGATTATTGATCTTATTGATAAAAAGGCAAGTCTTTGAAATGTTACCTCGTTGAACATATCGCTCACATGATATCTTGGGTTAGTACAGGTAATTTCAAATACCATATTTGCTATATTAGTAGCGCATATGCTTATGTAAATTACAGCTGCAGTGTTTTCATGTTCAAAGTCTTGAGTGCATATACTAATCATTCAGTAAACAACAACAACAACATCTATTTCTATTTCAGATGTGCTTCTAATAGAGTAAATATTGTATTTCTGAACATTACCGGTAGGGGTATTTATTTTAGAATTTTAATGTGTTTTCCAATACACCATATTAATTAAAATAAAAATAACTGATTTTTGTAGTTTGTATCTTTGATGGTGGTGTTGAAAGTAGATTACCGGTAATTACAATTGCTTACGTTCTAGATAGTCATCTTAATATTTGTCAATTTTTTTTTTAACTCAAATGATGAAACACACATTTTTGAAATCTAACTACGATTGTCCCAAGCCACAATTTCCTCTCCATCTTTTCATTCTTAGAATTACTTATTTTAGGAAAACAAAAGGCCAGAAAAATACGAGTTTTTGCCCGATGTTTGGGCTGCATTTGGCAACTGCTATAGTAGGGAAAATTTTGCTGGTAAGACTATTCTATTTTTATAAATTGATTTCCTTCTTATCATATCGCCTTTTTGACTCCTATGTGAAACTACTCTGTCTGTCTGCGTGTGTGTGTGTGTATCTATGTATGTATATATTTTCTACTATTATTTCAATAACTGCTAATCGGATTTCAATGAAACTTGGTACATAAATGCTCTTGATCAGTGCGCACACCTGATTAGTTCATAGGCTAAAACCTGTTCATATAACTTACCTAATTCGTATAATAATCATATTTTTTTGGGCTTTTCCACTGAAATCTCAAGCTCTATTCACATTTCAATTAAACTTGCTACATATATGCTCTGTGAGAATGCGCAGACCTTATCAGTTTTACATTAAAATATGTGCATATTAATTACCTGATTTGCATAATAATTAGTCGTAATAATTGGCTGGTAAATTGACTGGATTTTATTTTCACTGAATCATTCCTTCAGCGAAAATAGCAAAAATTAAGTATTGTGGCTTTGTTTTATTATTCTCTTTATTCATGTTATCATTAAATTGGTGAATTTACCTTTTTGCAAACTATGTTGTTTGTGTTTAACATTTTATGGTAACTAAATCTAGATTTTTATTTATGATTTTTATCTTTCTAGCAAACACAGGTGATTTCTTTCCCTCGGTGAAAAAGAATCCTGAGAAATACTATGAGAAATGCAGTGAAGGTTTAAAGAAATGGTTAAGAAGTCTTAAAGAATCTGGAAAATATGTCTTCCTGTGTACAAGCTCACATGTGGATTATGCAAAATTTCTATTAGAATTTATTCTTGGGTAAGTGTGTATGTTTATTTATACATGTACTCAAATTTACTCTGCTTCTGTTCAGTTTCCATTCCAGCGATGTCATTTTCCAGACACACTGACTTACCTTCCTGGTTTGTAGGGATACACCACTTAATGTCATGATACTGTGCTGTTAACATTTGAATAAACCACTTTTGAATGTCAATAGTGACTAAACAAACATTGGCTAACATATACTCAAACTATTGATTATGTTATGTCTCATTTTGTTTTTCATTTTAATATATTGCTTCAAATTTAAATATTTTGGTTCACATTAGAATATATTGAGTCACATTGGAATAGTTTGCAAGTGACTTGTGTCACATGTAACCATTGACTTTTGACAATACTAAAGATATGCGTAGCACCGGTCACTGGTAGCGTAGTGGTTGTCGTATCATGATCGGTAGACCCACGTTCAAATCCTACCTTAGGCTGAACATCAAAAGGGTCGACCTCTACCCTGGGTGAGTGTGTCACAGACTCAATGGGAAGGCCAATTCCACTGGTCGAGATTAATTTACTAACGAAATGCGACTTTGGGGGAACCTTGGTTGAGGTCCGCAGGTGCTTGTGTTCGACCAAGCCTGGTTGATGCTGGATAGCGCATTAAATTGCCATTTGATAGGAAGATGGACACATGTGTGTAGCAAATACATTTTATGTATATATTTAAATAATACCAGGTTACAAATAAAATGCATGTTTTTGTAAAGATTATATTGACAGTAGTGGTTGTCAAATTGACTGTGATTTCCAATGAGTTTTAATTCCACCCTGGCCATGTGTGCTGTATGTATCACAATTTAATAAAAGAAAACAACAAGTCTATAAGTCAGGACAATGTCATTGTACTAATAAATTCTCTTTATTTACAGTTCTGATTGGCAGTCTTATTTTAATTTATGCATCACATATGCCAGAAAACCTGGATTTTTTAGGAATACGCCTGCTGAAAGACCATTTTTTAAACTAGGTGAGAAACATATTATGTGATCTACTTCACGTAACATACCATTTTACTACAGACAATATAAATAACAAAAAAACAGCTTTTAATTAAACACATATAACTAATTATTAAGTAATCATGTGTGAATATATTTAGTATTTACATATGCACGTCAATTTGTTTCATGATCTGATTCAAGATGGCCGAATGGCGGCCATTTTTGTGCTAAATATCATCAAAATCAAGCATTTCTCGGCTCTTTACAGATGGATTTTGTTCAAACTTGGTATATACATTAGACATTATAGGACCTTGATGCACATCATTTTGTTTTACGATCTGATTCAAGATGGCCGAATGGCGGCCATTTTTGTGCTAAAAAATCCTAAAAATCAAGCATTTCTCGGCTATTTACAGATGGATTTTGTTCAGACTTGGTATATACATTAGACATTATGGGACCTTGATGCAAATAATTTTGTTTTTCAGATAAGATTCACAATGTGGTTCTCGTGCCATATCTCTGACTTGCTTTGACTGATTATGTTAAAATTTTAAATATTCATTATACATCATGTCATAGATAGACAGATATATTGGTTTGATGATGGTGGCCATTTTTGTGCTAAAAAATCATCAAATATCAAGCATTTCTGGCATTTATGGATGGATTTCGTTCGAACTTGGTACATATATTAGACATTACGGGTTCCTGATGCACATCATTTATTTTTCAGATCAAAATGGCTGTCTGGTGGCCATTTTGTTTTAATGAATGGGCTTCTAGACCCATATCTCAGACTTGTTTTGACTGATTATATTCAAATTTTAAATATTCATTATACATCATGTCATAGAAAAACAGATATATTGTTTGACGATCCTATTCAAAATGGCCAAATGTTGACTATTTTTGTGCTAAAAAATCATCAAATATTAAGCATTTCTGGATGGATTTCGTTCAAACTTGGTACATACATTAGACATTACAGGTTCCTGATGCAGGTCATTTTATTTTTCAAATTGGATTCAAAATGGCTGACTGGCGGCCATTTTGTTTTAATGATTGGGATTCTAGAGCCATATCTCTTAAATGCTTTGACCGATTATATTCAAATTTTATATATACGTTATACATCATATTATATATATATATACATGTATTCAAAATGACTAATTTTGAAGGCTGCTCCAGAACAATATCTCTCAATATGGAAAAGTTTGACGTTCAGATACAAATGTCAATATTTTTAATGTTAAAAAAACATATTTCTGACATGGTTATATTCCAGCTATATTACTATAAACAAAACTATATATCTTAAATTTGATAACTAACAGGGACTGTGCCATGCATGGCTTGTATTATTAGTTATGTTATTCATAGTTGTTCTATTTTATTACCTCAGGTAATTTGCATATTGTAAATCTTTCACAGATAATGATATCGAAACCAAGGAAGTAGTAACTGATTTAGAAAGCAATAAAATCTACTCCCAGGGAAATGCTGAAAATCTTATGGGGTTATTAAGGAAAGTTACTGAAAAAGAAAATCCAAAAGTAAGTCAGTTTTAGCAATTTTGTGGATTCACTATTGCCAGTAATTGTATGCTGGTGCTTTTTTCCACCGAAACTTCTAAAATTATAGCTTTGAAATACAATTTGACCATCGCATTATATTAACTATATTGGTTATGGTATTTGATTCCATTGTCTCTTTAGGTTGCATATATTGGTGATAGTTTACGTTCAGATGTACATCCGGTGGCACAGTTGGAAAACTGGTATGCATTACTTGTACTGGAGGAGATGGAAGTTGAATCACTGAATGGCAAAGTAGATAACGATGGTGATGAACCTTTAGCTAAAAAACGATACACTGTGAGTAATTTGATGGTCTCTATTTGTGTCAACAACAACCCAAAGGGTATCCCACCAGAGGGACACTTCTTGTGAGGTAGGGCGAACAATAATAGTGTATTCCACCAGATGGACACTCTTTGTGATGTAGGGCCAACAACCCAAAGGGTTTTCCTCCAGAAGGACACTCCTTGTGAGGCAGGGCCACCAACCCAAAGGGTATTCCACCAGAGGAACACTCCTTGTGAGGTAGGACTATCAACCCAAAGGGTATTCCGCCAGCGGGACACTCCTTGTGAGTTAGGGCCAACAATCCAAAGGGTATTCCACCAGAGGAACACTCCTTGTGAGGTAGGACTATCAACCCAAAGGGTATTCCGCCAGCGGGACACTCCACATACCACAAAGTTAGATGGTAATGCATGCATATCCTGGACATTACAAACAACATATATAGATACGTAGTCAAGGTTTGAATGTTCTCTACTTAGTTACGGTTGATCTCAAGGACATGTATATCTGTCTACCATGCAGAAACAACCATTAAGTTGAATTTATAAATTGTACATGCAAACAAACAGACAAACATTGAACCCAAGATTCAAACTTGAGATCACGGCAAATTTACTAGTATTCAAAATAAAAGCGTATTTCAAAACAATAATTGATCATAGATCTGCTTCAAAAATACATACTAATAAATATTTTGTTTTTCAAACAGATTCCCAGCAAGCTGGAAAAGGAATTTTTGACTCTTCTCAGTGGGGTTCTTTTTTTAAAGATGTTGACAATAATAAGAATACTGGTACTGGTATAGCCAGCATGAATACACTGTGGGGATATTTTGTGAAAGCATATAGTTCCATCGCTGTGCCAGAGCTTGACTTTATCACAGGTATGCATAATATGACATTGAATCCAGT